CTGAAACAAAAAACAATTTGAATTTCAAAGCAACCACTGATGAAGAGTCCAACAACTATTCGCATTTTTACGAAAAAGTTGCTCCCTTGCGCCTTTGTTTCATTTCTGATCATTAAAAACTTTTACAAAGTCTATGCCAAACAAGACCCCCAATTTAATCGATAAACTCACATGATGACTTCCTGGACGCAAAATGTCACGACAAGGACAGCCAATAAAACCTTCATTGGACCGAAATTCTTCATCAGTATTGAATTCTAAACACTCAAAGTTGGACCAAACTGAGCTTACTTTTTCTACAAAACTTTATCAAGCGTAAATTTCCGAACCAAAAAAGAAAACTCGGCTGGTAAAAACCACAATGATATAAAATTGGTTAAGAATATTAAAATGATGCACAAAAAAACTGATCACTTGTTCACGCTTACACGTTTTATTGCAGCTTAGAACGCCAAAAGTTTATTGGATTCAATTTCTCAAATTGATTTTCTAAGAAAACAAATGCTGAACCAGATTTAAGCTACTACTCTGTAAAATTGTGTTTAAAAGACCAGTTAATTGCAAAATAACCTGGGACGATTGTTACTTTTTTTCTCAAAAGAATTGAGAGCAAATCAAAAAAGTATTTTTCGGTTTTTTCTGTTTTATTTTTGGGCGGTATGCAATTTTTTACTAGATAACATTTTAAAAAACTAGGTAACAAGATTCCACTTTTCAATACGCGTTTACAAAATATCTATTTTGTAATTATTTTCTGCAGTACTCACAGCATTTTCACTTTTCAAAAACCTTTTCCCAGAAATAATATCACAACTTTGTGAATATGAAACAGATAATTATCAAAACTTCACATGTTGAGTTGACCAATAAAGCTTATTTTTTAGATGTTCCAATTAATTTGCAAGTCAATTGCTAACTATCTTTAACAATGACAGAGATCCCAAAGATCATACGCAAAAAATAAGGTCTTCTTTATCAGTTTTAAGACGATGGGCCTGAAAATCAAAATCTTTAGTGTCACAAAACAAAAACATTATCTATTAGTCTTTTTTGTTGTGGATTTAACTAAAACTAAAAGTTCCAAAAGTTTAGTTTAGTGCAAACAATTGATCAACTGCTGGATACTGACAAAAATTGAGAACACAAATACAAAGTTTTGAACTGAAAAATTGATTAAGAATTGTTTTGATTTCCACTTCTGAGTTTCCATGGATAATGATCGATTTTAATCAATTTTTGTGCTGCCATTATAATCGAATATCAATTCGTTTTGAGACCACGCAATTGACTTTAAAACGTTATTTTTAAACAATTGAAATCGATCACAATTCGTTAAAAATCCATTAAAATCGACTATAATCTGTATAATTTTTTTCTGAATTTTTTTCTAAAGTTTGCGGCTTTTTTGCAGTATACTCACAGCGTTTTCAATTTTTAAAACCTATTCCCGTATGATCGAATATTTCACAACGCTATCCCTCACACTCTTAATACACCATTTCTCGTTTTCAACACCAAAACTGCACACGTTTACCTAACGGTTTAAATGTGTGGGGGATATGAAATTTGTATAGTGTGTGGGGGGAGAGCAAATACGTTTAAGATGATAAAAGTGTTGGGGGTTGTTGATAAGTGAAACAAGTAAAAGAAGGCAGGGGCATAATTAGAGGTTTCTCGACGGGGGCAGATTTTGCAAGTTTGTGTCCACTTTTTATTTTTTTATTTCGTCCAAAGTATAAACGATGAAGCCCTGTTTTGATCAATTTTAAATTGAGGATAGTTTTAAACCGGACAAAAAGTAAAAATTACGGTAGAAAACACTGCAACATTTTTTGATGCAACCAAAAGTAAGTCTTATAGTGTCGACCAAATGCGAAATCATTTTGAAAAAACCAGGCTCATTTTTATATTATAATTCATTATAAACCATCATAAACCTTTTTATTCCATTATAAACTATTATTATCGATTGCAATGGAATAATTTGATTTCTATTTGTTTGATTTTTTTAAATTTATAATCGATTCTCATCTATGGAACTTTAATGGGGGAGTTTTACTGTTAGCAATTTTTTTCCACTATCAGCTATAATAGATCAGACTTTAAACTTACTTTTGTAAATTTGAGAAGAAATTGTCAAATTTTTCAAGATCACTATCAAACTTCAACTGAATGAAAATGAAAAATAAATCAAAATGGCCCCTCAGAATCAATTTCTTCCCTTGTGTTGTAACAGAAGTTGTTTTGAAAAATGACAAAAAAAACTTGAATAGAAAGATTGTTGCGGTTATAGTGTTTGAATCAAATAACACGCAGATCAAAAATTTTGTAACGATAAAACGAACAATTGCAGATTGGATTTAAGTGATCACAACTGCAGAGAAAGAACATGAGAACACAATTTTAATTTACTGAAACAGTGTAAAAAGAGAACCGGATGCTGCTCGAGTAGCACGTGATCATTCAACCAAAGTTGGAACCAACCCCACTTCAAGTTTATAAATGAGCAACAGGCTGACCTTAAAATTTTCTAAAAGCGCTTTTACCCCTGGCACCAATACAAAAATTTTACGACTGAAAGCAGGCCTTTACTTCTTAAAAAACGTTTAAAAGCTCAAAAAAGCTAACATTTTTACTCAGAAGGTTTAAAAAGCCCAGAAACAATAAAATTTATTTTAAATTAGACAGTTGCGGGCAGTGCAAGTAGTACGTGTTATTCAGCAAATGTACATAATTATCACTTTTTTCAGTCGTGTCGAGTTTTTGCTTTTTGCGGGTTGCAGACTAAAGAAAGCTAGCAACGGCCTTCAATGAAAGCAAAAAACAGATCAATGTTTTTGCAATTTTTGGGTTTTTGGTGCAAGGGAAGCGCTAAATGAAACTTCAAAAACCAGTTTTGCAAGGTTGTTTTAGTATTTTCATTTTTAACAGTTATTTCGCAAGCAGCTGCTTTATTTGCTCCACATTAAATTGAAATTTCAGACCAGTTTTTACTTACACTGAAATAATTTTTAAAATATTTTAAATTCGATAGAATCAAAGTTGAGTATGCTTTAACATGATTCAACTCCCAAACTTTGAGGCCTCTGATTTTGAGAGAAACCAAGGCAAAGAGTTTTGAGATTTTCTACGCAAATTGTATTCGAAACTTCGGGCATATCTAGAAATCTATATTTTTTTAGCTTTCTGTTAGTATAATTATTAGTGTAACTTCGGTAGTATCAAAAAAGCAAAAAAAATGAAGCTAAACTCAGCATAATTTTGTTCAGCAAACTAGTTGTGTCAATTTTTGTTCCCAAACGTTTGTTTTCCCAATGATCCGATCGCAAAAATGTTTGCCATGATCATTTAGATATTTTCATCATCATGCAAGACAGCGCAACGTCTTGCAATATATCCATAGCCGTGCAAAGTCTCGCAGATCTTGGATTATGAAAAACGCATTTTTAGGAGCGACTTGGATATCTTGTTAAGGTTTTACCAACAATCATTTTTTATCGTTTTAATGTCGTACGTGAATCAAACAAAGAGTGTTTAGCTTTCGAGATGCTGTTTGGTAATATAATTGAATCTGGATGAAAAAAACTTCTGGGTGCCCAAAACCCCAGTAAACCAGACAAAGAAATTGAATTCATTCAATCCAAGTTGTTCACTAAAAATTAGTACTCCGTGGTTGGCCTTCTTACAGGTTTCATCCTTCATTGGAAGGAAATGGCAAAATTTTTTGTCCACTATAAAACTAACCACGACACACAAAATTTTCTAAATAGATTTTAGTTTCAGCATGAAAATTTTGCTTCACTGCTTAACTTTTTTTATAATCCAAACTAAAAGTAGTATAGTAGTATAACTCATTTAAAAACCTAGCTGTAACTCTCAAATTTTCATCATCTGTTACAATTTTAGTAGTGAGTATCCAAATTGTACAAAAAAACGGGAACAACGTTTTTGAAAAAAAAATACCAAACTTCAATTGAAAGCTTTAAGCTGCAACTTCTTTTCCCAGAACTGTATACAAATACAAATTTTAACTCGTTTCACAGTTTTACATTTTTAAAATATATTTTTTCACTATCACTACCGGGATGCCACGATGCCACTCAACAATCTGTTGAGATATATGGAATCTGCAGTGCTTCAGTTTTCACAAATTTCGACTTCTTAATTGATAAATGTAAAACTTTGCGTATAAATAGGTTCGTTTAGATTAAGAGTCTGTGAAAAAGGAGAAGTCTTTAATTATATACAGAAATTTCAGCTTTTGTTGAAGACCTAGTTTGTTTTGTAAGCATCTATCTCTCATAACAGTATTATATGTTGGATGAACTCAGCCCAATGGGATAAAGACTGCTATGTATTGCGATAGGCTAGATAGTATCCGATCTTCGCCCTAGGTATAAAGACCGACCCATTGTATTAGTATAGGCTGTATGTTTCAAAGTTTCAGATGGCGTGTTTCAGATGGTAAGATGGTTAAATTTTTCAGCGTACTAAATTCTTATGTAAAAAGATCGGGATAGAATACATAAGATAGGGATTTCTGTTCATTTATAAATTAAGAAAAAGCATAGATTCTGCAAAGAATTAGGTACAAGGAAACCAAAAATGTTTTTGTTCCGACTTTCGATACGAAAGTAACGGAGTATTTGTGCTCGGGGTGGGTTTTTTTTTCTTCAGACAAATTTCGACTTTTTAACTAGCCATTTTTGATGGAGTTTTTTATATCATTCGAAAGGTATTGTTGTCCTGAGCTCAAATTTGAAAAGATATTTCACTTGTGATGATTTTTCGTAAAGTTATGGGGGTTTAAAGATTGCCATTTTGGCCAATTTGGGACAATTAACGCGCGATATATTTCGCGCTATTAACGCGTAAGCGGAGAGTTAATCCGTCTTAAAATCGTTCCAAATTGGTTACAAGAAGCTTATTTGCCATAATTGATTGGTTACAAGGAGCTAAATCTATCTTTTTGTACTTTAAATGGAGTGCGGGGGGATGATTTTCATAAAAAAATTTCAAATTAAAAAAAAAATTGTTTTTTTTTATTTTATTACATTTAATTTTTTAATGTTATTACTGCTCCATAAAACCTTAAAAGGCAGTCGGAACATTCAGGGCTTTGCCCTGATACGAGCAGTTTTGTTTAATTGGTAATTGGTATCATGGCAAGACAATAAAACATGGTTTTTGCCTTCTAAAAAAGCAGTTACTCTTCAAAACGATAAGCTGAAATGCATATTTTTTAGTGTTTTACTTATCAAAAGCAATGCAAAAACAGCTGAAACTATGTTGAATTTTAAATTAAATGCCGCTGAAACGCCTCTGAAACTTCCGAACATGAATTGAAACTTGGCAAAAATTGTAAAATTAACCTAAATTTTTTTGAGAAAATGTAGTAAACTTTGCTCATCTTAGACTTATAATCAGTTCCAAATTTTCCAGTTACTTTTTTTGTACATCGAATCAAGTTATCTTTCATAGCCAAACTCCACAGAATAATTTAAGCAAAAATCTTGATTTGACTCATCCTCGGAGTATTTTTGAGCATTAATCAAAACTCAAACAAATATGCCACGACTACAGCCAAATGTCTTTTTTAGACAATTCAAAACATTCATTTTTCTTTTTTGCCCATTTACCATATGTTTACTTTTTATCCAAGTTATTTACTCACAATTATCAACTTAATGTTTAAGAAGGGGGCATATTGGAGGAAACATCAGAGAGACTTTTCTCAAAATACAACTATTTTAAACTCAGTTAACTCACAAAATGGTAGCTCCTCACATTGTTTTTTTTAAATATCTGCTTATTTGTGTATATTATTTTTTAAATATTTTGGCTCAAAAAAAGAAAAAATTCTTTCAGTTTAAACATAACAAAACTGAAGTCATTGAGGTAAAATTCTTAAACAAAAAGGGTGAAATGAAATTAAATAAAATACGTTTAAATATGGGTGAAAATCATTTAAAACCTCATCATAACTTTTCACAATCTCTCTTTTGCTTCAGCAACATAATTTCTTATAGCTTAACACAATTGTTTGAAATTATTCCTGCGTTCTGCATTTAAATTATCTCGGAACCTACCATGTATGCAACGGTAAAAGTTGGGTCAGTTGAGCACACCAATTGCAGCAAAAACAAAACCTGCACTGCAAATATCTGAATAACTCTTTGTAATCTGTGCACGTGTATATATTGTAGATAACAAACCTCTAGTTTAGGAGTTTTTATAAACTTTTGAAGCAAAAAAGTCGTAAAAATTTTTAGCCTTGTTTTTGGCCATGAAAAAAGTATAAGTAGTGTAGAATTGCAGATAATTAGATCAATATAAATCCAAAACGTAAGCAAGTGCGGCTGAGAAAAAATTGAAAATCTATAGGTGTAATTTCCTGCAAAATTTGATGAACTAAACATCAGCCAAACAACTGATTGTTATCTGAATTTGGCTCTTTTCCAGTCCCCCCCTTCAAATTCAATTTCGAAAAACCTATTTAACGTTGTTATAATTTAATGAAACTTGGCGTGGTGAACAAATCGACAATTTTGAACAGATTTGTTCTTCATACTTTACAGCGCAACTTCACGCATTTAGCCGTAATAACAGGTAAAACGAACATAAAACTCGGTATTCTGAAAGGGGGGGGAACTGGAAAAGAGCCCTGAATTTTATCCACCAAAATTTTTTCGTAGGTTTCTCTAATAAGAAATAAGTAAAACCTAGTGTTGAAAGCCAGTTATTAAATATTGTTTTATCTAAAATCTCCCAAAAAAATTTTTTTTTTCCATTTTCAACTTTTAATCAGATAAATATTATAATTGAAAGTGTATCAATTGAACTGTTTTTTTTAGATCCCAAACAACTTAAACTTAAAAATATTCGTGTCAAATATTGCCACCTAAGATTCCAAATGAAAGAAATAAAGATGAAAAAGAAAAACTATCAACTTCACGATAGTTCTTTGAATCAGTTCATTTCAAACATCATTTCAATGATAAGAATCGAAATCTTATGCGTTTGTTTCTGCCTAAAATTTGAAGACATTTCCTGCAAAGCTCTAAATTGTTTTCTTAAAATTCACTAAGTTGTTTTAGAGCAGAATCATTCGAAACTTTATTAGAGGACTTGAAAAAAGTATGCCTTGAAAGCAGAATTTTGACTTTTTATTTCAACTGATATCTTCCGAAAAAATTCAAAACAAAAAAGCCAAGTTAGTGCAAAATATATGTTACTTAATCAATCTTTTTTGATATGGAGGAAGTTTTCTCTCAAAATCAATCTCTTTAAATTTCTAATCTCTAGTAATATATCGTTATAAAACACATCAGAAAAAAATTTCATCAGTTTCTTATAATTGCTAATTT